CTGGGAGTTAGGGGGTGGGGCATTTATAAGAACAGTGTTACTGACCTAGAAGTTGAGCTTATTAACTGGTTGGGTTTCTCATTTCACTGAATAAATGGGCAACCAAAGAGAGAACTTACTTTGATAATATCAATCACTCCATTTTTCTGAATGACTGACTGATATTATCCAAAGTAAATACAGGGACTAGAGAGATGGCTCAGCATTTATGAGCACTGGCTACTCTGGCAGAGGACTCAGGTTCAGGTCCCAACACCCACACAGCAGCTAAGAACCATCTGTAACTCCAGTTCCAGGAAATCCAACCCTCTCTTCTGGCCTCTGTAGGCATTGCACATATGGTGCACTTATATACATGCAGGCAAAACACTCATACATATTAAATAAACAAATAAATAAATAATACATACATACATACATACATACATAAAGTAAATATAACTGCTGTTATACCTTGAAGATAAAAATAAAATCTTTAGACTCCATGGTCTCCTCTTAGAAAGTCTATGTCCTTTAGCAAAACTTACTAGAAAACCATAGCAGCCCACTGAAAGCAAGACATTTAAGCACTCAAGACATTTCGGCAGTGGCAGTTTAAGAGCTCTAACCAGCTGATGCACTGGGTGAGGTAATGGAACTTTCAATGGGTGATGGTTTTATAAATACACACTATGGCCTCCTGACCAATTAGGAGAAGATAATTGTAGTAACTATAAACATTTTCTTCCTTGTCTTATGTATATGTACATGAGTACATGTGTTTGTATACCACATGGTCACTGACTTTGCAACTTAGTTTTCAGGTTATAAAATATCCATTTTTTTTCTTTCTTAGGACAGAGTCTCACTATGTAGCACAGGCTAGCATCAAATTCATTTTGTAGCCTATGCTGGCCCTGAACTCTCAATTCTCTTGCCTCTGTCTTCTAAGTGCTGGTATTATCATGTGTTACTATGCCTGGCTCATAAATTTCTTCAGAAATACACTATTCAGAAAGAGATGCAGTAGTTGATGGAAATACATCATAGCCCTTGCTAGAAGGGTGTCTTTGATGTAAGTTAGGTGGAAGCCTGTGGTAGTTGCTATTGTGTGAAAATTAAACATGGAGAGAAGAGTAGATGTTGGGGTTCCATGGGGTGGATGTAGCAATCATCTTCATACATGCCATCAGCCTTCTTTCTTTCCCCCTGTGTTAGCTGTATAAGGTGGGGTGCTAGAGACAACCACTTAATTATGCATGCTAGACAAGCTTTTTAAACTTGTTAATTTTTATTTTATGTGTATGAGTGTTTTGCCTGCATGTATGGAAGTATACCCATTTTGTGCAATGCCCACAGAGGCCAGAAGAGGGCGTCATATCCCCTGAAACTGGAAATGTGGACCGCTGTTAGATGCCATGGGGGTGCTCTGAACTGAACCCAGGTCCTTTGAAGGAGCAGCCAGTCTTTTAACCACAGAGCCATCTCTCTAGCCCCCAGACCAACTTTTTAACTGGCTCCCAATTAGGTGCTATCAGCGGAAGGGACTGTTAAGATCCTGCAAGGCTGAGCAGGGGAGAAGCAGATCTTCTGCCTGCTTTCTGATGCCATGTCTGACAGCAGCAGCAATGACAGGGCAATGACATGACAATAGCAGCTGTGTTGAGTAAGGCTGAGACAGCAAGTCTAGGGTGATAGCGACAGCCTCTCTGTAGCACAGCAGCAGACAGAAAGCTGTGGCTTCAGTCCACCTGCGTCAGCTTCCAGGAGCTGAGCACCAGCTCCTCGGGCTTTTGCTCTCCCATGTCCCTCTCTTCCGTTTGCTCTAACAGTCTTCAAAGATTTATGTAAGCAATTCTCTCTACTTAGCCCTGGTGATACTGGAGGTGGAATAAAGTCTTGTTAGTTATGAGTTTTAAAAGAGCCCTTATCTCTAGAGGAACATATTGAAATATTTATAGATATTATATGAATCTGCTGATTCATGTATAGCTGGATACATTTTTCTTAAGAATAAAGAGGGCTATGATGGGGATGGAGATAACACAAGATTGGCCCTGACTTCACAACTCTCCAGGGATCACTGGGTGGTACCTGGGAGCTCATTTCCCTATTTATTCTCCTTGTTGATCACTCATTCCACAGCTGTGACAAATACCTGGGGGAAACAACTCTAAGGGAAGAATTAGTTCTTTTGGCTGATGAATTGAGAGTCCTGGAATCCCTTGACTCTGGGCCTTGGGAAGAGAGAACATCATGGTGATGGGAGCATGTGGCAGAGGCTACCAACCTCATGGATGACAGGAAGCAGCAAGAGTGATAGGAAGGGGAGAGGTACACGATGCTCCAAGGACTTCCCCCAGGGAACAATTTCCTGTAGCTGTGTCTCTTCTAATGTTTTCAGCACCTACCAAGACAGCAGGCCTGCTGGGGACCTATTCTTTAATACAGGAGCCATTTGAAGGCATAGTACATATCCAAATCATAGCATTATATTTATACATATTTAAAATTTTCCATAATACAATGCCAACTATCATCTCTTTCCATTAACAGCAAGTGAATTTTATTTATTTGTAGTACCTTTCTGAGTCTGACAGAGACGTGTCTTATCACAGAGAAAGCTTACCTATGAATGAAGCCCACACAAAGCCAAACAAAGATGTGTACAGGTGAGTGAGCGCAAGTACTAGATACAGTGACAGAGGTTGCACATATGACCAGAGAACAGAACTACACACAGCCTTTCACCTTATCCAGCTAAATAAATCCAGCATTCACTTTGAGGACTTTCTGGAAATACAAGCCCCTTCATTTCCTTTTTCTTTTTATGGGAAATAAGGTCTTATTATGTGACCCAGGCTGACCTTGAACTCCTATGATCCTCCTGCCTCAGCCTCCCAAGTGCTGGGCTAACAGGCATGTGCCGCCATGAGTAATTCAGAACTTTCTTCTTTATTAACATTAGTTTGAATTGGACTTTGATACTTGGAAACTAAAGAATCCTAACTTTAAAAAAATCCCCAATACAATGATAACTATTGTCCCAACCTCCTGGAGCAACAAACACACTGCTATCATCACTGCCATCCCCCTCCTAGCTGCCGCCACAGCAATTAAGATCATCACCATTTTCACCACCATCTCTGACTTGGTCAACATTAACTGACAATCTATGATATAACAGCACTGGATCCTGGTGTGGTTGCTACAGATCTGAGATAAGCGAGTCAGAGCACCTGCCCTGAGAGTGCTCCCAACCCATATGGAGAGACCAGATGTGCCATCCATCTATCTACCCTGCATAAAAACACATGTGAAAGAGGCCTAAGTCTCAACAGACTAGGTCAAGTACTAGACTAACTGAGGAAATAATGGGTTCACCTGATGCTCAGTAAAGAGAGGAAAGGGCATGGCAGAATGATCTTGGAATATGATCAACCTACATAAGACGACATAACGACGCCTTAAGTTTGGCCTCTGAAGTCAGATTTGGTTCAAATCTTGGCTTTATAACAGACTAGCTTTGTTAGCTTTGGGGATGTTATTTAACTTGTTTCTACCTCACTTTCCTCAACTAGAAAATGGGATGATAATATAACCTGCCTCATGTTGGGAGACCTTTGTTATGCAAAAGTCCAGGCTTCTTCACGCCAGATAGCTCATGTAGCTCGGGATGTGCTGCGGGCTCCTTTACATAACAAAGTGCTTCCCGGCGTCTTTCCTGCCTCTCCTTTTGACGTGGCCTTTGACTCTGAAAAGGTATCATACCTTCCTGTAAATTCCTAGCAGACAACTGTCTGGCAGAAGCCCACTTTTCACATGCAAAAGCATCTAGCAGCCAAGGCTTTTAACACAACCCCCATGGTATAAAAATCTTAGTCTTCCCTCAATAGCCGGGAATCTAGGGAAACTGGGACCAGGAATTCAGGGAGATCAGAGATATCAGAGAACTGGGTCTCAGAAAATAAAGCTGTACAGACTAGAACTAAGCCTTGAGCCTTTGAGTCTTGTGTACCGGCGACCTAACTCCTCCAGAGGGCAGCACCTTCCGTTACCGACCCACGGATACTCTCCTCGTGCCTCTTCCCTGTGGGGTTCGCTGGCCAGGAGCCCCACTATCCTGAGGAAAGGTATATGGGTGTATTAAGGGACGGGATTTCGACTGGACAAGCGCTCCAGTAGCAGGGAAAGCTCAGCAGCAAGAGAAACTGCGGTAGTCATCAGCTACCGCCACTCCCAGAGACGCGGGACCTGAGCCGCCGAGCCCAGGCGCGGACCCAAAGCAGCCGCTGCCGGGAAGTCTGCGGACCCACAGGGAGTGAGCATACGGCTGCGCCCAGAGAGAGAGAGCGCAGCCGCCCATAGCCTCATAATGCTGTCATGAGGATTAAATGAACTAACATATGTAAAGTACAGAGAACTCTGTCTGGCACATAGTAAGCAGTATTTATATGTTATTATAACAGAAGAAAGTCTAGTATGCTCTGGCTAGAAGGTACAAGGAAGGTTCAGGGTAGAAATGCAAAAGATTATTTAGAATCCAGCAAGTAGACATAACAGGCTGGAACTACCTACAGTTCACAAAGGACCAGAAGCAAGGGGAAGTGGCTTGCCAAGTCTCTCTTAAAAGCACACACGAAGGGCTGGAGAGATGGCTCAGCGGTTAAGAGCACCGATTGCTCTTGAAGAGGACCTGGGTTCAATTCCCAGCACCCACATGGCGGCTACAAACCATCCTTAACTCCAGTTCAAGGGGAATCTGATGCCCTCTTCTGCCTTTCTCAGCATTGCACAACACCGGTGCACTCACATACTTGCATACAATACACTTGTACGCATAAAAAAATGTTAAAAGCACACAGGAAAATGTCTATTGGAGGCCTTTCCTGGGAGGGTGAGCAGGTGGCATTCTCCCTACTTTGGACACTCAAAGCCTGTCTTTACAGACCTTCCAAGCTGCTTTGAACTATTTCCTTTGAAACAAGTACCCAGACACAGACTCAAGGATGCAAACTTACTGCTCTGTGACAGCCATGTTGGGTGGCAGAGAGGTGAGCCCATTGCCTGTGAGGAGCAGCACACGAAGGCGTGGCAGAATCCCTAGGTCACAGATGGCCTCCTCAGTCAGGCTGTTGAAGGAGAGGTCCAAGAACTATCATGCAAAACAAAAGATGGGTAACAGAAGTAACGTGACAATGATGCCCACACACAAGGTGGGGGCTGGCTACTTTCCCTCCTGGAGAATCCCAGAGGATAAGGTCTCTCGGGATTAGCATTCGTGGTCTACCGGAGTCAGGTTCATCTATCTATCCTCCAGGCTTAGCTGCGGCTGTACGTCTGTCTCTCCTGCAGTGCTGGTCAGACTCCTCCCTATGTCCTGCTCATCCCACCAATCACCCCATTTATGAGTTTTACTAAAAGAGGAATACCCTCCCACTGGGCACCAGAATCCCAGTCCCAAAAGGCCACCTCATAGCTGCTTCCTTATAAAATATTTCCTGATCCTCAGCCAGGTGGAATGTCTCCCTCCCCCGAGGCTTTGCCTGTGTTACCTAACCTGCCCCAGGATACTTATCAAAGTTTGCAGGGTATGTCCCTCAGCTGGAGATGTGTGTGAAATAGGTACTCCTATAAGTGTGTGCTGTGTACCATGTCTGGCGCACAGTGGAGCACTAGATCATAAGCTCTTGGAGGTCAGAGGCCATGTCACCGTAGTACTCTAGCCTTATAACTGAGCACAGGCCCTGGCACAGAGCAGACACACATGAAAAATAGGTCAAAATGAGCTAGCTTAAGGACAATAAACTCAAATGATCACCCCACCAGCAACCATCATCTGACTGGCCACCTTGATTCATAGCTGACTGAGGTCAAGGAGCCAGCCAGGAAGCTGGGTTTCTGTCTGCAAAGATGAAGGTGACTGGGACAGGTTACATACCCAATGTCTGTTGTCTCCTTCCTGAACTAACCTCCCTAGGCACTCACATTAGTTCTTCTACATGAGCTGCTTGCTTCCTTCCGCCCCTAAGTCTAAGTGTTTCTCCTACACATATTAAAGCCTACTAAACAGAGCCAAGTTCAGTGTCTTATCCAGGTTACCAAGGCCTCTGTTCAGACTGTGTCCCACAGTCAGTCAGAGGTATATGCACTACAGGTCCCTGTGCAAGAAGGACTGGGTTTGGTGTGACTGTATTATAGTAACTAACTGATGGGCTCTGAGACCTTGGCTTAAGTCATATGATTTAGGCAAATTATTTAACCTGGGATTTCTTACCAATAAAGTAGAAATAAATTGCTCTTACATAGATAGATAAACTTTAGCCTAGCGTCTGGTACACAGTGAATTCTTAACCAATGTTGGCTGTCATTGTCATTGTCATCTTCATCACCACCACCACCATCATCATCATCATCTTCATCCCTTCACTGGCTATCTCCATGCTGAAGGCTTACTTTGTTCCTGCCCTCTGGGAGCTCCCAGCCTCCACAGGCAGCTAGCTACATATGTCTGTCCACTTAGAAATGATGCTGCTGGGCTCTCAGCCTTCATCAGAAGTGCTTCTTTGCAGTGGATAGCAGTTAATATAGACTCACAATGGGTCAAAGGGCAAAGAACTAGTGACTGTGGAGTGCTTGGCCTTAAATAGGACCCTATATTCACCCTCAAGGCTCAGGAAACATCACAGAAGAGGCGGAAAGAGCCAGAGTTTGGGGAGGAGTGCTGTGAAACTGTCTTCTAGACATGACATGGCTGGTGCACTCATGACCTCACTGCAGCTGTGGTTACCAGCATAAGACCATCAACACTTCCTCATGGAAGGGGGAAGGGTTCATGGGGCCTCACCCCTCCCTGAGGAACTACTGACAGTTAATGGTGGCTGAGGAAAAAGGGGTGTCACTTTCTTTAGTGGTGTAGCCACTGATAAGTTGCCAATGTATCAGTAAACAGACTCCTACCCAAGCTCATACAGGTAACCAAGTGGATCTCACACACAAAAGACATGAAAGTAGGAGAGAGACATGCTGGGAAGGAAAGGGTTCCAGCAGGGGAGGGATGAGATTACCCAGGGAGTAAAAAGGTTAAAACTCTCAAAGAACAGAAATATATTTTCAAATGAAAAAGGAGGTGGTGTTGCAGGGACAGATGTCTGGACACATACCATGAGGCACAAAGGCATGAACAGTCAAGTCTACCAGGAGGTCAGGACAGGCACATAGAGGTGATCTGAGCTGTCCTCAGAGACCAAATTATGAGAGGCAAAGAGACACTCAGGTGAGCAAGTGACTGGGAGCAGGAGGAAGGAAGAAGCCACCTCGTTTGTTCTGAGAACTGCAAATGGTCTGAGTATCACTGAAGCCCATGTATAGCAAAGTCTTGATAAGATTGGGCAGGTCACGAAGGTGCAAAACACTAAAGAAGAGCCAAGTTCACATGACCAACAGGAAGCAAGGGTTTGGGGTTCATACAACAGGGCCATCCCACTTGGCTGGAAATGAGGAGAGGAGGAAGGCCTAGAAAATAGATTCAGAAAGGCACGGATGGGGAAATCTATCTCTGGTGCTCACATGTGGACAGTCAAGGCCTATAGAAATTATCTGCCTCCTTCACATCTCTCATTCTTGTTCCCATCAACCCATTCTTCATAGAGCAGCCAGGATGAGTTTTATATAGTTCTCATCACAGTATTCCTTAGCTTAAAACTCTGTAGATCCCACGTCTCAAGTTTATACTCTTTAGAGAGATGTCCAAGGCACTGTATAGTCTGTCTCCAGGCTCTACCCTCTCTCTCACTCTCCATTCTAGGTACATTGAGCTGACCCATCAGTATTTGAACTCAGGAGGTGCCTGTAGGCCAAAGCCAGCCTGATGCTAGTTTGTAGCCAGTGAACTAAGAATGATTCTTATACTTAAGAATAAAAAATAATGCTGTGCTATGTGGAAGCTGTGGGAAATTAAAATGTCAGTGCCATGCTTGCTTGTCTCCATATTGTCTATGGTTCTTTCCTTCTACAGCAGAAGGGAAGACCAGCTATGACAATCATGATTAATAATGAACACATACACCCAAAGTTTAAGATATGTAATTTCTGGCCTCCTACAGAAAATAAATATGGGGGCCCCTGTCTAACTGCTTTGGCTGTTAAATGTTGGATCCAAAGTTGTTTTCCATGAAATAAAGCATAGCTCAAAGAAATAAGCAGTCTGAGAGTCACAGGTCACAGAATTTCCAAAGGGGGAAACTTAAACTGCAGAGGGAAAATTATTTGGTCAAGGAGGCATGGCAAAGGGTTGGCCTTAGAAGGATGGTCTTCTGGTTGCCAGGGCAGGGATCCAGCTGAACAGTTTCCGGATTTGTAAGCAGAAAATAAAATCAAGCAAAGTTAAGTTTTTCTAAATTGACTAGTGAGGAATTCTGCTTTGGGCTGCTCTCCTTGGGGCAGGCTTTCTGACAAACAAGGACGGAAGATTCCTGGCCTGGCTAGTGTATCTGCTGAGTCACATCAAGTTTTATTATACATCAGAGTATTTATTACTCAAGCTATAAATTCAGGATACTTGATGTGTTTATCTTTTTTCCTAGGGAGCCCTTTCAGACCTCAGAGAGGTGAGAACAAATGGTGGCTCCAGAGATTTCCTTTCTCATTTAGATACTGCATCCTAAATGGGGTCTGCTTTCTTTTATGGTCAAATTCCTCTGGGTAAGGCTGGTCTACTGGATAAACAGTCTTCATCAGACGCAATCAAACTATAAAGTGGGATGTGCACAAAATCAGTCATAATCAGATCCCAAGCCAGTCACCTGGGCCATAGCCTGTGATCCTATCCTCACCATGCCATGAGTGCTTGTGGAAAATGTTTGGGGTGGAAGGAGGAAGACAAGAAGCCACGAACAACGTACAACACACAGGAGCTCAATCCCTGTTCTCGAAAACAGTAAAGAACAAACAAATGGGAGTCTGTAAGTGGCTCCTAGGCCTGGAGGTCAGGGAAATGGCTTTCTAGATCTCTGATATCTAGAATCCATTTCCCACTGTCTGCACCAAAATGTAGTACAAAATGGTGTTTTCACACAGTGCCAAACTGCATTAGTTTGCTGCCTTTACTTCTCTCTATTTTATAGAACTTTGGGAGTTTGCCTCTTGAATAAGTCTGAGGGCCAACTCAGTCCCAAATCAGAGTAAGCTGCTGTCATCGTCAATGTAACTTGAAACCATGGAGAAAGGTCAGTACTGCATTAGCACAGGATGTTGGGATATAGTATCCATCTTGGGAAGATGGCCATTCCAACAGGTTAAAGCTTTTTTATTTTTATTTTTATTTATTTTTATTCTTTTTTAACTCACTATGTAGACCAGGCTGGCCTCCAACTCACAAAGATCCGCCTGCCTCTGCCTCCCAAGTGCTGGTATTAAAGGCATGTGCCACCACGCCCGGCAGGTTAAAGCTTTTGAAAACGCTGGCACATAAAGGCCATCAACTCTCCGAAAAAGTCAGTCTTGTAGAAGGCCCCTCTCTCTGACAAGCCCAAGTTAGGTGAGCAGTGTGTAAAGAATAGCTGAGCCTTGATGTCTACAGCTACCAACCATTTGGGGTCAACCCCAAGGCTCATAATAGGTAGACATTTTGCTAAAGCATAAATAGGAAATGCTTTACTATAGGGCCAGCATGCAAGGATGGGCACATAATTCAGTGTATGAGTGAGTCTGGCCAGGTGACCAGGCCTAACTCCGGACGTTGTTTTCTAGTCTGTATATGTGCAATAATTCTCATGTGGTGACAAAACCTTTATTCCTTTGTAAAAAGTTGCCCTGAACTCTTCATGAAAGTTAAAAAGAGGTAATAATTTGAAGTATGAGGACATGTAAACAAAATTTTCTCTATTTTTGATCCTGGGCTTTGGAAGACAATTACAGATATGCACACGTCTAGAGTCTACAGTAAAATTCATAAGAACACTATTTTGTTTCATCCTCATCTTTGGGCCTATGGAATAGACATGTAGCCTGCTCTATCCCAGCCCACTGGGACCAACCTAGCTTACTCAGCTCAGAGTGGGTCTTTGGTATCAGTTCACAATGTCCTTAGTTCTGTTCTGGCTCTTAACCTCCATGGCTCCCCAAACACCCAGGGAATCTAGATCTCCTCACATTCTTCCTCCTGTGATACTGTTTAAACTCACTTTTCTACAGACTCTTGAACATGAATGAACTTTGGTATTTTTATTACAGGACCATGTACCATGGCCATAGTTAAACTATCTCCTACTATTGCCACTAACTCTTTTATCACCCTTATCACTACCATTTCTAGCACCACCACCTTCCCCAGAGGCCAGCCATGAAGCAAGAGCCTAGCAGTAGAGGCCCAGGGAACCCCTCCCCAAAGTTAAAATCTGTAAAGATCCCTGTACTCCTTCCTTACAGGTGGGCACTGAAAACTCCCTACCTCCAACTTACTTCCAATGTCTTGAAGTCTCCATATTTCACATAGACTGACTCGATGCTATTGAATGCAAGCTCCAGTTCCTTTAAGGCTGGAAATGTGTGGAATGCATCTATATGGGAACAGAGAGAGGTCGATGCTATTGAATGCAAGCTCCAGTTCCTTTAAGGCTGGAAATGTGTGGAATGCATCTAAGAGAGAGAGAGAGAGAGAGAGAGAGAGAGAGAGAGAGAGAGAATCTATAGCTTGTAAAGGCTTGGAGAGAAAGATACTGATATGATCCTTCACTGAGCTCGTACAGGGGAAGGCCAGGTACTGCAGAAGATGCTTTATGAAGCTAGCCTCTAAATTTCTAACCATAGGACTACAGAGATGGTTCAGAGGTTAAAAGAGCTTGCTGCTCTTAAGGAGGATTGAAGTTCAGTTCCCAGCTCTCACAACAGGTGATTCACAACCACCTGTTACTCCAGTTCCAGGGGATCCAAAGCTCTCTTCTGACTCCCCCTGCCCAATTAAAAATAAAGCAATTCTTTAAAAAAAAATCTATACATCTCTAACTATGCTCACCAACAAGGCTTAGGACTTTCATTCTGTGACTGAGGAAACGGAGGCTCGGACAGGTTAAGTGATTTGCTAGAAATGGAATTGCCTCTGAGTGGAAGAACTAAGAATTGAATGTAAATCTGCTCAAATGCAAAGTACATTTAAAAATTATCTCTATTATTTCTTCTTTTCTTTCTTACTAGTGCAGGAATCAACCCCAGGGCCTTGTATATGTCAGGTATATACTCTACCAATGAGCCACACTCCTAGTTTATCTCTATTATTTTTGATTACAGAAACTAACATGCCCACAAAAAAAATAGCCAAACACCACAGGAAAAAAAAATCAAAATTTTCCTTTAATACCAGCATTCACAGTCAATTATTAATAATTTCATGTATAAGACATTATCTTTTCTTACATGTTGAAATACACATTCTTTTTACAAAAATGGGGTACACACTGTATTGTGCCCTGCTTTTTCCTTCAACAGTTGAAGATTATTCTGTGTTAAAACATACAGATTTAGGGGCCGGAGAGATGGCTCAGTGGTTAAGAGCACTGACTGCTCTTGCAGAGGACCCAGGTTCAATTCCCAGTACCCACATGGTGGCTAAAAACTGTAACTTCAGTTCTAGGGGATCTGACGCCCTCTTCTGACCTCTGCAGGCATGACACGGGTGCACTTACACACATGCAGGCAATACACTCATACACATAAAATAAAATAATAAAAAAAAACCCATACAGATTTGTCCAATATCTTAATTATCATCTATTGTATAGACATGACCTAGTTTATGTGACAATTCTCCTATTGATAATGTTTAGGCCATGTGGATAAAAGGTAATCAAACTTCCCCCCTTGCATGAGAACTGGATCTTGGATTCATTTTCTACCCCTGCTTCCCTAGTAAGCAGAAGCAAATGTTATGGTAACTGTGTTACCAGGCAATATTATTTGTGGTAAAAATGGTCCTGGATTGGTAAATTGTGAATGGACCAGGAGACACTATAAATTATAAACATGTGAAGAGAGAGCTTTGAGAGAGCTTTCCTACCAGTGGTGATTCCTCTAATGAACTATGTCCTTCATGGGATTGCTAGGCACGATACCTATGGCATGTTATAAGGGACGCTGATTCCTGTGGGCAATAAGATTTCCAAACAGGGGTGGTTCCTGCATTTACCCAATTAGAGTTTCTATCTTGAACCTGAGATGACACTTGGTTAGTGAGTGGCCCTGGTAGATGACTGGCTATGAGGACTCCACTGAAGAAGAACTCCTGATGCTACTGGCATGTACTGTGGAATTCCTTGGCTCTCTAAGGGAACCTGGTGTTCTGTGTGGCCTACAGTAGGCTTGTGAGTCAGAATGTTCAGTACAGCCTAATGAAAGACTGCTTGGTGCACATTTCCTTGAACAAGTGTGGCTCTGCACCATATATTCCTGGAAATGGAACTAATAAAGGCAATGATTATTGTAAATTCTAATAGACACGCAGTTTTACCTTCAAGGCATCACATCAATTTCGTATATTTTATTTCTGCCAGCTGACTACTAGAACATCCACTTCTACATCAATGCTGGCTATTATCATATTTGCCAATATTTGATGGGCAGAACACTGCATCTTGGTGTTGTTTTAATTACCAGTGAGGCTGATCATCTGTTCATATGCTTATTGGTCTTTTTATGCCATGCTCCTAACAGACCATGCTACTGTCTCCAAGGCAGCGACCTCATTAGGTGCTTGTTCAGAAGTACCCCTCAAACTCAATATGACAGCTCAGCTCACCCTGTTTCCCCCTCACCTGCCCAAAACTCTCTCTCAGTGAGTATGCCTTTGATTCCTCTCTTTCCACAGGCCCACAAGTTGCTACACCCTGTGATTCCTACCTCCTCCCAAATCACTCTCTCTCAGTCCTCTTCACTCCTTGCCTTAGCCCCGCTCAACCTTCATCTCCCCTTCCCTGCAAAACCAAACCAATCCTCCATTTTCTTCTCTTCAAAATCCATGAGGACCCAGCCATCACTGAGCTTCCCTGTATAAAAAGCCTTTCAAGACTCTTGTGTCTGAAGGATGAAGTTCAAGTCACTCAAGGCCCTTGATGATCAGGTCCCTGGCACCTTCGATAGTCTCAATTCTCCTCCTCACACATCCCTTGAAAACAGTCCCCTGACCAGGCACCGCCTTTCCACGTCTGCTCCATTGGCCCAAAGTATCTTTCTACCAACTAATTCTTGAGTCAAAGAACAGCTTCAGGAGTTGGTTCTCTCCTTCTACCAAGTGGGACCCAAATTCAGGCTTGGTGGCAAGTGCCTTAACTCAGTCAGTCACCTTGCCAAGCTGTCTTTTCATTTTTTCATCTTAGCTTGGGTGTTCCTTTTCTCAGAAGTTTCTCTTGACTCACTGGCCAGGGTTAAAGTCCCACTCACTGTTTGCTTACTATCTCCTGATTACTGCCATCATCACTTATATTGTACCCTTCTCTCAGTCCATGCCTGAACCCATCTCTCCCACGAACCCATTAGCTCTCCAGAACAAGAACTGGGCACACTTCTTTCTAAAGGCTATACAATTCTGATACCAGCAGGGGTCACTGTAGGTTTGCTAAATAACTAACGGGCTCCTGTTCCTCTCATTTGAGTCTACAAGGTGGACCACAAGGATAAGAAGGGAATTATCCCCAATTGGAGGGAGAAGCAGCAGCTAAGCAGGCAATGAACGCCAGCCCAGGGCTAGAGGAGAGATCTGAGTTCTCTCCAGTCCCCAGCCTCATCAAGAGATGAGTGGCTGATCAGGGATAGACAGACAGACAAATTCTAACCCAACTGACTTGCTAGCCAGGAGGCAGAAGATAGTTTTCAAGAAGGTTCACCTAGAGGCAGCAGGTTTTCAGAGGCATTTATATAAATCACAGAAGTAAAGTGTTTGAAGTCCTTTTCCTTTGCCTGTAGGAAAACATTTGAGAAAAACAGTAGATTAGTTTGCTGCCCAGAGGCCTTGCTGAAACTCTAGAGCAAATGCCTAAAGGGCCGAGAGACATTCTTAGCCCAGAGCAGTCATGTGGCAGGGCTCTTATAGCTTTTCTGTTTGTTTTCTTCTACTCCAAAACATTTCCAGTGCACTGAAAAGCACTGTGAATGATACTTTGAAGACTCACATGGAATCATTACTCAGTGTTAATAAATCTGAATATTAACTGACTATATCTGAATTGCAAGAAACTATTAGAGGATGTATGACCTCCCATCCCATACCCTCTGTATTTCCCTCCACAATCCCATGACATTATCCCCATTCTTGTTTTGTGCTGGTGTTATATACATACACACGGTGTATTTCCATTAACTATATGCACACAGTGTGTCTCCATTAACTATACAAAGGGTCTCCATTTACAATACTCAAAAGTGTGTCTCTATTAACTATATACAGAACTACTTGCATGCTTTAAAAATTTATTCATGCAGTCTTAGGGTAAATATCATTCTGAAACCTGTATTTTCACTCCACAGTATGTTTTTGAAATTTACTTGAGATACAGATAGATCTCTACAGATTTGTGTTGATCCATGTAGGTCTGGTTCATTCTTTTGAGTTCCTTGTTTGAGTATATCACAAGTTATCCTTTCCAAGTGGATGCATATTTTGTCTGTTTCAAAATTCCATCATTACAAACAATGATGCTATGCATATTCTTACACATTCCTCCTTATCATAAGAGTTTCCTTAATGATTTACACCTGCCAGATTGTAGGTCGTAGACTCTTGTGATGGGAACTCACTGTCACAAGAGGAATTACATACTGCTCAAATTTCCTGGCAAACTAAAAATCAGACTCATATGGTGAGTTCTTCTATTTCATACGAATATCAAATTTATAGTAAAAGTTTGTGTGTGAATATTGTTTCCAGTGACTCCTTGTCCGGCCCTCCACGGCCCCTTTCCTCCTAACTGATCTCTAGTCCCCAGAGACTGGAGGGGTGCCACACACAAACCAGAACATCCTTCACATCTAGCTCACCACTTCATGCTGGCCTCACCTTGGAGAGCTTCATGCCGCTCACATCGATGGTGCAAAGGTCTGCTGGCTTTTTCACACAGTGGTGCTTCAGCTGGGACACAGGACAGAGTTAGTTCCCAAGGTCCCAACAAAATGTAACCAAGCTATTTTTGTTTAGCCTTTTTTTTCTATTTGAAATGCACTGATTTTTAAAAAAAATTGATTTTTAATTTTTTTTGAGGATTTGACACCTGAATACTGTATTTATACCAGTTCTATCCCTCCCCTGACTCCTCCCATGTTCCCCCATTCCTCTCAATAGCCTTACCTCTTCTTTACTATTTTTATATCTCTAAATATATATAAACATATGTTTATATATAGATAACCTACTGAGTCCATTTAATGGTTCTAGTACATGTGCTTAGGGCTGACCATTTGGGATTGGATAACCTATCAGGGCACCCGTCTCTGGAGAAAACAGATTCTCCCTCTCTCGGCTGTCACTGATTGCCTGTAGCTCTTCATCTAGTGGTGGGACCTTGTGAAATTTCCCCATCCACATTGGCATGTCAGTTAGTGTTGTCGTTATGCAGGTTCTTGTTAAGGCAGCCATACTGTTGAGGTTTCATGGGTGCAGCTTCCCTGTCACGTCTGGAAGACACTATTTAGCAGCAGGTGTCCTGGTCCTTTTGGCTCTTACAATCTTTCCACCCATTCTTCTGTGATGTTCCCTGAGCCTTAGGTGTAGTGGTTGCCTTGTAGATGTATCTGTTGGGGCTGAGCACACCATGGTCAGCTCCGTTGTTTTCCTGTTGGTCAGTCTTATAAACTTGTCATTTTTTTGCTTGTACATTCATTCATTCCTTACTCAGTTGTTCATTCACTAAATATTTACCAAGCACTACTTTGAGCCATGAGCCATGCTAAATATATTAACAAAGTCCTTTTAATACTAACTAAACACTTTAACCTAGGTAGTATTACTACTCATGGTAAAGGTTTAGTTCCTTCTTTTCATGTAACTTTAAAGGGTTTACTTCCCTCTTTAATGAGGTTAAAAAAGGGAAAATGACTTGACTAAGGTCCCACAGTTAGTTAATAATGAATCTATGTGTGTGGTTTGAATGAAATCGTCTCCCATAGGCTCCAAGTATTTGGATAATTAGTCAGTTGGTGGCGATGTTTGGGGAGGTCTACGGGGTATGGCCTTGCTGGAGGAAGCATGTCACTTGGAGTAAAAGGTCATGACCCTGTCCCACTTCCAATTTCTCTCTCTCATCCTCCTGCAGTGTTTGAAGATGTGAGCGCTCAGCTGTCTGCTCCAGCTACCCCCAGCAGTGCCCCCTGCCACCATGATGGATTTCTATTCCTCTGGAACCGTAAGCTCATCCTTCTATAAGTTGTGTTGGTCATGTTTGTTTCTTCATCACAGCAACAGAAAAGTAACGAATACACTATGATTTGAATTAAAATCTGTAATCCCTAAAGTCTATGCACTTCTGTCTACCATATGTAGCTCCACAAAATTGAAAAGTTAGGATCAAGTATCAGCTTTGGAATGTTTCATGTTTAATGGAGCCTGTTGCTTTGTCCTGCACTGCCATGTGTAGACTCTGAACCAGGCACTGGGAAGACAAAGGAGAAGCAGCAGAGGCATCTCACGCCTTCACAGAGCATCTACTCTGGTGGAAAGCCAAGCAACAAGCAAGTGCTTAGAAATGTGATCGTTATTTTGAAGGATAAATTCAAGATCCCATCGGGTACAGAAACAGGAAGCCCTAATTTCAGTTTTAAAGGAGGAAATATTTACTTGAGGAAGTAATTTTTCCAGCTGAGATTTAAGAGCTGAACCAGAGCTGATGCCACAAAGTGGGTGGTAGGGGTACAAAGGCTGCCCAGGCAGAAAGAGGCAAGGTGTTCTTTGAGAGGAAGATACACACAGGCAAGGTTAGAGAAGCAGTTGTGAGATCACCTGGATTCATACTGACTCTGAACAAGTGTGGAATTAGCAGGTACAACAGTTTTATAAAAATCAGTAAGCCTGATACACTTAGAAAGGATAAGAAGACAGGAAAGACCAATGTGCCAGATGTGGTTAATGACCTTTTCTAATCAACACTTCTCTACATCTTCCCTGTTAAAGAATACCAATGTTATTCACCTTTCTTCAAGTGGACATGTTCTAAGCCCCAGTCCCAAGGAGAAGTCTTGACCTGACCAAGCCAACTATAAAGGTCTCACTCATTTCTCCCAGTGACAGGATGCAAGGGTCTGCCAATGAGATGTTGGCTGCTTAGAGTAGAGGTGGGCCACCAGTCTGGTGATACTTTCCTTCTAAAAGTAGAAATAAGACAGTGATGTAGCTGGGTGTGGTGATGCACACCTTTAGTCCCAACACTTGGGAGGCAGAAGCAGTGGATCTCTGTGAGATTAAGACAAACCTTGTATACACAGTGAGTTCCAGGCCAGCTGGGGCTACAAAGAGATCCTGTCTCATAAAGGAGAGAGAGAGAGAGAGAGAGAGAGAGAGAGAGAGAGAGAGAGAGAGAGAGGAACAGTGGAACAGGGGCAATCTCCTCTGGGTGTTATCCTCTATATGTGATCATCAGAACTGCTACAGCCATTTTGGAATCAAGAGGGCAATCAGCCCAAGAGGACAGCTCAACATGCTGAAGACGACAGAGCAGAAATTAGAAGGAAGCTGAGCCCTGGAAGATGCTGTGCAGCCATAAGTAACCGGTCCTAAGCAATGCCTTGGGCTCCTCTCTGTGTGAAACAAAAGCATTCTACATTTCATTTATTGTTATTATGATGTATGTGTGCACATGAACTTGCACATGCCATGGCATGAGTGTGAAGGACAGAGGGACAACTACTGGGAGCCGGTTCTCTCCTTCCTCCTGCTCTCCTTCTGGAGCTTGAATTTGGTGATCAGGCTTCAGATAGAGTTTGTACCCACTGAGCCATCTCATTGGCCTAAAATAAAAGCATTCTAATTGGTACAAACCAGTTAGAAAGCTACTGGATTAGTCTGATAAGAGATGGTGCCCCAGTTAAGGATAGTAGCATTAGAGATGAAAAGAAGGCATATTTGACAACTGTTTAATAGAAATTCCAGAACTTGGTAACGGTGCTGTGAGGGAGAGGCAAGTATAAACTATAATCCTGGGTTACTGGCTTGGTAACTGGTTAGATGGTGCCAACACAGAGATAATAAACACTACAAAAAATGCTGTGTTTGGGGACATGGAGTAGGGAGGATTGGTGCAGTTGTGCAAACTGAGGGGCTAGTGGACTAATGTATAAAGTGAATATCCCAATCCTCTGAAAAATGTCCTTGATGCTTCTTCTATCTAAAGCAGCAACATGGGCAGTCAGATTTATTGATTAATTGGGGGAACAGACATGAATCATCAACCCCGCCCCCCAGGAACTGCTTGGATGTGAAAACATGTGAATTCTGAAGTCTCTTATTTAAAGGGATATAATACTTGAAAATAACCTATGCACATCCTCCCATATACTTATAACCATCTCTAGGTTATTTATAATACCTAATACAGTACAAACACATGTAAAGAGTTGTCACCCTGTATTGCTTAGGCAATAGTGACATTAAATATGCATAGTTGCGTACAGATAACATTATTTTATTTTTTCAAATATTTCAGTCTGTGAATGTTCGAATCTGTGATGAGGAGAAGGGGATCTACAGGGTCAAGTGTATTTGGAAACCAGGAAGGAAAAGAACACTGAAGAGGGAAGTACTTCTGCCCCACGTCCGAGCTGCTGTTTCAGTCTTCTCTGCTTCCAATGAGAAATGGACATAAGAAGAAACCACAGGCTCTGTGAAAAGCTTGCACTGCTCACCTGAGGTGAGGTGAGACCAACAATGTTCTCTCATAGCCTCGGATCTGCATCTCCCGGGAATCATGCACAGAACGTGGGCACAAGGGAGGCAGACAGAGTTGTTCTCAAGGAGGGATGAGAACCAGGCTGCTCATTAATATTGATCTACAAAATGTGTCTTTCTTTGCAAAGCTACTGAAGCACTGCATAAAGCAGATGTGAAACCACCTGGCTGGTCTCCAAGCCAGCACCCAGCCCTCTTCAGAAAGCCTGCAAAAGCCTTGAGTAACACCCAGAGAGAGTGCTGCATGCTTTTAGGCAGATGCTAGAGCCAAAGGGGAAAGGCTATGGGAGAGTGGGACCTCCCCAATCCCACCGGCTTCTGGAGAAATCACCCCAGAGTGGAGCACAGCACAGCACCTAGGAATCTCTAGATCCTCCCAGACACTGGGATGGGATCCTCAGTTTACTGTTTTACTGACACTCTTGCCTTCCCAACCTAAGTAAGAATTTTCACTTAATTTCTTTTTTTCTTAAGACAAGGTCTCACCACATAGCCGACTGGCCTGGAACTCACGATGTAGACCAGACTGGCCTCAGACTTACAGAGATCTGTCTGATTCTGCCTCCTGTGTGCTGGGATTATAGGTGTGCACCCACCACCATGCCCAGTCACTTCATATAAAATAAAGGTGTAGGTTTTGGAGTCAGTAGACCAGGGTTCTAGTCATTTATTGATTGTGTGTGGTACTCAGCCAAGGCAAATAACTTCTCAAGGCCTCATTCTTCCATCTGCCCAGTGGCAACAATATAATAAGGATGACAATACTGGGTCTATCTCACAAGGTGGATGTAAAGGCTTTACATGTAAAGGAGGCTCCCTGGGTCCCTTCACCATCAGTTTCATTTAATTTACCATCATCATAACTGTTCTGCTTGAGTGGCTGAGGTAGTGGTACCAGGGCAGGACAACTTCTTGCCCCCAGTCAGACAAGAGCAGAGCAGGGGAGTCCTCATCCCTCCCTCGCCCTGCCCTCCCCTAGCTGATGCTGCCAGCTACCCTAGAACATATTTACTCTCACCAGAAAAGCCCGGTCCAGGATGTGTCCAAGAATGTCCACTTGGCTATCCCACCGAGACACTTTCTTCAGCCCAGTATCAAAAGAAACCTTCTTTGGGTTTTTCCGACCTTCTCTGGGTGCCTTAGCCACATCCTTCTTGATGTTACCTTTCCGAGCCACCAGCCAATGTCCTCGGCCTGTGGGAAGACCAGAAAGATGAGAAGGGGCAAACCCCTTCAAAACCTTACAAAAAATGACAATACCAATCCTTGTTTATTGTAGAAATAATCAGAAAACTATGTCAGCAAAAAGAGAGTATGAGGCTGGGGATGTAGCGTCTTTGGTGGAGTGCTTACATAGTGTGCATGGAGACCTGGGTTCAAGTCCCAGCACTACCTAAAACTTTATGTGGTGGAGTACACCTGTAACCCTACAGGGTATCTCTTACTCCAGTGGTAGAGACAGGAGGATCAGAAGTCCAAGATCATCACTGGCTACATAGCAAGTTCTAGGACAGTCTGGTCTATATGAGACTGTATGTCAATTAAAAATATGAATTTCACTAGTAAGTTCATTTAAAAATCATAATGACAAACCAGGCCTGGTGGTGCACACCTTTAGTATTCACTCAAGAGGTAGAGGCAGGTGGGTCTCTGTGAGATTGGGACCAGTCTGTTCTATATAGCAAGTTCCAGGCCAGTTGGGGCTATATGGAGACTCTCTCTCAAAACAAGAAAAAAATCATAATGACATTGTGGAATCTTCTCTGTTTGGCACTGGCAATTTATCTACCCATGTCATCAACTGTACTCTGTAATTATTCTATTTATTCACTTACTGGTTGTCCATCTTCTCCTCTAGAATACAGGCTTTGTACGAACAGGGACTTTGATTAATTCATCTCAGTATTCTTATGGCCTGCACAGAGCTTTCCACATTGTGACTATTGCTAAATGAATGACTTGGTAAAGTCACATACTCATCCATTTAGATGTTTTGTGAGCATCCACTTCATGTTGGGAGCTGGGGCTCTGGGAATGAATAAGACAGAAGCCCTGACCCCCAGATGTTCAATAATATATGAGGTGCTGCAGAGGCCTCTCAGAGGAGAACCTACCAGCATGAGGCAGACTTAGTAAGTTGAAGGAGTTCCCGAGGTGAGGATTGGAAACAGTCTGTGTAGAGAGAGGGGCAGGAAAAAAATGCCCAGAAGTATGAAAAGTCAGGATGGAGAAGAACAGTGGGGCTGTGGGAGGCAGACTGGCACCACTGGCTCTCTTCTGGAGCAGCCCTAGCCCTGCCTCGGGTGCCTGCCCACCCACCTGCCCACCCACCTGCCCATTCCTGCCAGTCCTGCTTCTTGGACGCAGTCCCTGCTGAGTCTCATGAGAACCAGCTCCTGCTCCTGCCCGGGGCCAGACCATCTGGTACCCCATTGCCCAAGGTTACCCCATCCAGGGTATGGACTTTGGTGCTCTTTGAGCCTTTCCTCATATCTCTGACTCCTGGAGACACCAGTCTGAGTTGGTGTAAAAACTCAAAAGTGGCCAAGAATGGGCCTAGAATATGTAGGAGATCAGTGTAAGATGAGGCTGGAGGAGTCAGGAGAGTCAGACCATAACAGATCCTGAAAACCAGACAAAGGTTGTGATGGCGTAGGCTTTTAGCAAGAGGGGATCAAGAAAGGAATTTTTTTCTTTATAATTTGTCATTTTCAGATAATTTTAGACTTCAAGAAAAGTTGCAAAAATGGTACAAATTGTCATACAGCCTTCACCCAGCTTCCCTAATGTTCTGTTCCCATCTTACATAACCACCACACAATTACTGAAACCAAGCAATTAGCCCTGGTACAATATCAATTACTAATCTCAGCCCTTCTTTGAAATTTGTCCATTTCCTAACTGCCTCCTCCTGTCCCAGGACACAGTCCAGGACCTCACATCACATTCAGCTGCTGTAGCTCCTTAGTCTGCCCCAATCTGTATGACAGCTCTTCAGTCTCATTGTGAAGAGGACTTGTCAATTTTTTAAAAAAATATTTTATTATTTTTATTTTCTGTGTATGAGTGTACTGCCTGCATGTATGTGAATGCACCTGTATCATGCAATGCCACGGAGGTCAGAAGAGGGCTTTGGATTCCCTTGGAACTGGAGTTAAGGACAGTTCGTAGCTGCCATGTGGGTGCTGGGAATAGAACCTGGGTCCTCTGCAAGAGCAGTCAGTGCTCTTAACCACTGAGCCGTCTCTCCAGTCCCAAGGACTTGTCAATTTTTATAAAATATCCCTCAAAGTGAACTTTTCCGATGCTTTCCCCATGATCATTAGCTTGAAGCTCTGCCCTTGGCAAGCTGCCACAAAAGCAATGTTATGTGTTTCTCTGTGTGTCATTTCTCTGTGTGTCACTTCTCTGTGAAGTTCATGAGCTCACTGTACCTTATTTCTGATGGTGGTAATTTTTTGAGACAGAATCTCACTGCTGGGCCTAGGCTGGCCTCAAACTCACAATCCTCCTGCCTCACTCTCCTGAGTGCTGAGATTATAGGAGCACAATATTACGCTACACATCAGTGCTAAAATGTTAATTTTTATATGCGTGTGTGGGATACACGTGTGCACTGTGTGTGTGTGTATATGTGTGTGCAGGTATACATGACTGTGTTCACAGAAGCCTGAGGAAGATGTGGGGTGTCTCTATCACTCTCAACCTTATTCCCTTCAAACAGGGTCTCTGACTGAAACTGAAGCTCACCATTTCAGTTACCTGCCTGGCCAGTGAGCCCCAAATTCTCTGGTCTTTGCCCTCGGTTCTGGAGTTACAAGCACATGTGGCGATGCCCAGCTTTTATGTAGGTGCTGGGATTCAAACTCAGGTCCACATGCTTGCTGCAAGTGCTCTTACCCACTGAGCCATCTCCCCAGTCCTACGATATTTTGATTTCTCATCTAACATGGGTTTTCCTGATAGCACGATGGAGAAGTTACTATTTTCCCTTTGCTATTAATATACTTAGAGACTATCCAGATGCCTTGTTTCTCATGCCTTTGCCCACTTTTTTTAACATCTAAACTGGCTGGGTGTTAGCTTCTATAATATGCAGCTATTCAGACACTGTGTGTTGCTGTGATGCTATTTTGTAGTTTTGATTAATACCTACAATCCACTGATGTTAGTGAGATACTATCCTTGATAATATGGGGGATTCTCACCTCATCCAGTGAAAGACCTTAGGAGTAAAAGCTGAGATCTCTTGAAGGAAAACAGAACCTGCTTCAAGACTACAGCCCTGGGGTGGGGATATAACATACAAAGTCCTGCTTTCCATTCTTTTTTAAAATATTTTATTTGTTTTTATTTTATGTGTATGAGTATATTGCCTGCGTGTATGTAAGTGCACCCGTGTCATGCAATGTCTGCGGAGGACAGAAGAGGCCATCAGATTCCCTGGAACTGGAGTTATGGACAGTTGTTAGCTGCCATGTGGGTGCTGGGACTCGAACCCGGATCTTCTGCAAGAACAGCCACTGTTCTTAACCACTGAGCCCTCCAGCCCCTGCTTTCCATTCTTAACATCAGAAAAAAAGGGACTTCATCATCAGTTCTTCCCCAGGCATTTCCTCAGTCTCTACAGTCACCTAAGCCAATTCCTGGGGGAAATGTCACCTTTCTATCTACCTACCCATGTACCTGTCTGTCTTCTACTAGTCCTGCTTCTTTATAGAATCCTGACTGATAGAATATTCATAGGTGAGTTTTTGTCTACAAAAATTATTACTGTGATATTTGAACCATTTTATATTTCCTCAATGTTTCTATATTCATTACTGGGATTTTTATCATAAGGAAGAGTTCTTTCTTCTCTCTCACTAATTTATTGACTCAGATATTATTTGTATCATTATGAGCTCATGAATTTTTAAAAATTGTTTATTTAATAACCACATGATTAGAAGAAGCATTTCATTACAGTCTCAACATATTCAAAAACAATTTCCGGAGCAAAGATGCATCTCTTTCAACATTGGCTGTAATTTTTAGGTTCACAGTTGAATTAATATAGTTATACAATATTGAACTCAGTATAAACCCTATAAGACATAAAATTGAATGAGTTTTCATCCTTTAAAGAAGATCTCCATTTCATTTTAAAATATGCTGATTCCTACATTTTTGATGCTACTAAGGCTTAGATGT